GGGGGGGGGGGGGGGGGGGGGATGATCTGGACGGTGTGGGGGGGTGGGGGGGGTGGGTGGGGGGCGGATGATCTGGACGGTGTGGGGGGGTGTGGGGGGCATGATCTGGATGGTGTGGGCGCCGACACTGCTCCTCGCGTGTGCGTCCTGCTGTGTGATTGCGGTCATTCTGCTGCCGGTTACTCCAACAGCCAAAACTCAAGGACCGCCATCGACTCAAGGCACCCATTGCAGACTATGTGGCGATGGAGGGTGTGACGCCATCGGCATGGCTGGCTACCGGGCCTGACGGATACGTCGACCGGGCAAGTGAGAGCAAGACCAAGCTGCCACACGTTGCCAGTGCGTTTTGCGACAAGGCCTTGGCCGACATCGCCAACAACACCGGGTACGTCATGGTAGCCAAGCGGAAGAAGAGCCCCGATGGCGACACGGTGGCGTCGCGGCTCATTCAAGCGGCGTTAGTGCGGACGCTCGACGGCGTTGCGCCGCCGCCCGAGCTCTCGGGCGCGCTCGCGCTGCAGCTGTATATTCACCCCAAGGGCTCGACCGGCACGGTCTACCGCTGCGAGTACGCCGTCTCAAGCAACCGCAAGGGCTTCACCTCGGTCATTTACAAGTACTACGACCGGGTCGAAAAGATGGCCGACGACGACCCGCGCAAGTCGGATCCGCACCGCTCTGGCCAGAACGACGAGCTGGTGGTGACCAAGACATTCCAAAAGTCCTCCGCCCGCGCCATCAACGACCAGCTGTCAGAGCTCTCGCTGCGGATCATCCGCTTTGTCGAGACTGTTCGCAAGGTCCGCATCCACCGGGCCTACTGTGACTTTATCCTCGACTCGACTGCCGAGCCGCACTTTATCCAGGCCATCAACGTGTTCACCACCCGGCGCGCGCCGCGCCCGCGCCCGCCACCGCCGACCGCCCCAGTCGCCGACGCCGACGGCCGTCTCGTCGACGGTCGCGGCCGCAGTGAGCCCTCTGAGCTCGCGCCGGTGCCCGAGGACCTGGCCATGGTCCGCGTCGCCCGCGCCAAGCATGTTGGCTCGGACGCCAATTGCGCCGGAGACTACTGCGACTACGAGCTCGTTGCTGTCGAGCCCGAGCTCCGCATCCGCCCACGCGACTCGCCGCCGCCTGGCGAAACCCCACCGCTGCCTGAGTACTTTCACATGGCCAACAAGTCGGTTATCCTTGCCCGCTTCGATCTCCTCCTGCATCGCCCCGAGGACACCGCCGCCGCCGCCGCCGATGCCTCGGGCATCCGCGCCGTTGAGCTTTACAACGCCACTCTGGCCGCCACGAGCCCGTCAGCCTCGGACGCGCCGTCGGTCCTGGCCGGCAAGTTCCAGCGCATCTCGCCCGAGGACTACTACCGCGAGGTCGAGGTCTGCGCCTCATGCTACCAGATCTACACCGCACTCGACGGCCAGCGGTCTGCAGACTTGCGCGCTCGTGACAAGGCCGAGCGCCGCCGACGGCGGCTCCGCCACAAGCAGCATGAGCGCGAACGTGCGGAGCGCAACGCCCGCGGCGATGGCAAGGCCTCCTCGGGTGGTCCGCGCGCCTGGGGCGCCCCGCTCCCGCCCGGCGCGTCACCGTCGTCGCTTCCACCGCGCAAGGCCCGCACGCCTGAGCGCCGCGTCAAGCGCGCCCCTCTTTACACCCCACAGAGCAAGGGCAAAGACGCGCGCCCGCGCGGGGCCCTCGCCATTCCCAAGGACACGCCCAACTTTCTCAAGATCAACCGCTCATCGTCGCAATCGCCGTATGCGCTGCCAAAGCAGCGGCGAGGTTCGTCGCGCAAGCGCGGCGTGTCCCGCCGCCGCCCGCAGCAGCAAGACTCGCCCTCGCGCCCCGCTCCGCCGCGCAAGGCCCCGCAGGCTTACGTCCGGGAGGGCGCGCCCACCCGTCGCGCCGGCGGGGCTTCTCCGGCGCCCACACATGCGTCCGCGTCCAGAGCTGCGCCCGAAGCCTCGCCATCACGCCCAGAGCGCAAGACCGCCCCGCGCGACCCCATCGCCGACGAGGCCGACGCGCTTCTCTCACAGTACTCGGGCCACGGGCAGGAGTCCAGCGCACGAGTGGTGAGCGGCTCGCCGGCGTCGGCCTCGTCGTCGGACGACGGGCGCAGCACCGATCGCTCCAACGCATCGTCGACCTCCGCCTCGGGCTATGCGTACTCGTCGGAGAGGTAAAGCAGAGTAGCTAGGGCGAGGCAAAGGGCCGCGGAACGCGGGCGGCGATGGGCGACGACGGCGGAGTGGGCTCGGGCGAGGAGGCGCCGGCCGGGTCGGTCAAGGCCTCTGTGGCAAAGAAGGCGGCCTTGGGAGCGACGACAACCGCCGCCGTGAGCTCACCTAGCCCTGCGGCAAAGGCGTCCACGGCAGCAGCCAGGGCGGAGACGTGGCCGGCAGTGGCGTCGATGGTGGCGTCGTGGGCGGCGACGTCGGCGAGCACCGCCGCCATGTCGCTGGAGACCGAGACCGACGAGCTCACCGCGCCTGTGCCCACGCCCTCGGCCGCGCTCCCTGCTTGCCGCACAGCCGCGCCGCCCACCTCGCACAGCGTCTGCTTGGCCCGCACAAAGGGGTCCATGCTGTGGGTCAGACAGGTGGGGGTGGGTGGGTGGGTGGGTGGGTGTGCTGCGGCGGGGACGGGAGGCTGTGGCCGGTTTAGTGGGCGCTCACTCACCGCGCGACTGCTGATCATGCTCCGGCTCCGGCTCCGGCTCCTGATCTTGATCTCGGCTCGGCTCGGCTCGACTTGGCTTGAGTCGGCTCGAATTGGCTTTGTCTCGGCTCGGCTCAGCTCGGCTTGACTCGGCTCGGCTCGAGCTCGACTCGGCTTGGCTAGAGCTCGACTTGGCTTGGCTTGGCTCCAACTCGAGCTCGACTTGACTCCGCTCGGATCGGCTCGTCTTGGCTCTTCCGCAGCTGTTCCACGCACGCTCTCTGTCCATGGCACTGGCCATGGGGCCATGGTCGTGGTCATGGGCCGACCGTCGTGCAGCGTTGCCGCAGTTTACGCGCTGCGATCGCGGACAGCGCGCATGGCCTTCTTGACCCGGTTCTCGGACACCTGGTAGTCGACCCGGAGTCTAGCAAGCATCTCCCGTTTGCTGGTCTCGGGCGCCATGGCCAGAGTCTCCTCCACCGCCGCCATCAGTTCGTCGTCGGCGATGACAGGCCGGGCATCGCCATGGCCCGTGCCCGCGCCGACCGCACCCGCACCCGCACCGACCGTGCCCGCGGGAGTAGGAGCCTCGCCACCAGCGCCCATCTGCGCAGCCACCAAGGCCGTCAGCTGCTGCAGATCGGCCTGCATCGTCTTGGCCGCCATGACAAAGTCGTCCTGCAGCGCCGCCATGTCCGAGCCGAGCTGGGCGGACTGGGCTCGCAGGCCGGCTAGACGGGCCAGCGCCTCGTCGCGGCTCAGCTGTATGCTGGTGGTGCTCTTGCTCATGTCCTCCTCCGCCATCACTCTGCCGTGTTTTCAGTCGAGTCTTGTGTGCTGCCCTGTCCTCCCTCCCGCCCTCCCGCTCTCCCGCTCTCCCGGCAGCTGCACCAGCAGCCACCGCCGGCGGTCCGAGTGACGAGTTGCCGCCGACCAGCCCGGCTGGTTGGGCGCCAGAAGTCACACGGCGCTGGTGATCGTGACAACATTTAAACTCGTATGAACGTCATATGGATAGATAGAGTGTGTCGAGAGGTACACGTAGGTGTGGATGACTGGGTCAGATGGTGCGCATTGCAGGAGATATGGCTCCGCAAGTGTGCCATCCGCCGCACAACAAATGATCAACAAAAAATGGTCACTCATGTGTGTTACTCCCATGGGACGCCTCCATGACAGCCTGCCACTTGGCTCAGCAGCCATCCAGAGCCAAACCGACCATCCGATGCCACCACAAGCCATCGATATCCATCCATGGCTAGGATCGAAGTAGCAGTAGCTCTGCACTGCCCCAATCACCTCCCCCCCTCCCCACCACTTGTCGCACTGCCCTGCCACTGCCACGACGGAGCAGCAGTGGCGCTTCACCTTCTGCACCTCTCTCTCACCCTCCCCCCTCTCTCACACACATACCATGGCCCTCATTACCACTATCGCCACGGCCGTAGCGGGTTGGGGTTGGCTGGCACCGGCTGCAGTGGTGGTCCTGGCTGTGGCGGTGGCGGTGGTCCGGGCTGTTCTGGCGCCCACCGTCGACGCCGCTACCGTCCCGCCCGACGCACTGGCGGGCAAGACAGTGGTCATCACCGGCGGCGGCAGGGGAATCGGCCGTGCGGCTGTACTGGACTTTGCCCGTCTCGGCGCTGAGCGCATTGTTCTTGCTGTCCGCTCGCCTGCTGCGCCCTACGTCACCGCCACTCTCGATGCCGCCGCCGCCGCCGCCGTCGCCGCCGGCCATCATCCACCGCACATGGCTGCGCTCCGCCTCGATCTGGCGAGCCTCGACTCGGTCCGGGCCTTTCCGGCTGCGCTGGCTGCCGAGATGCGGACTCGCGAGCCGGCAATCCATGTCCTCGTCAACAACGCCGGCGCTATGGGCCTCGGCCCAGACCTTGTCATGCCCCACGATCCGGCTGCCTGCGGCGAGCCGGGCTGCACCCTCACCGGCGTCGACCTCACGCTAGCCACTAATCACATGGGCCACTTTGCGTTGACGCATGCCCTGCTGCCGGCTCTCGAGCGCGCCGCTGCCGCCTCGCCGCCGTCGGATCCGGCACGCATCGTTAACGTTACCTCGGTCACCCACAACATGGTCTCCGCTTGGCCGGCAGACTACATCGCCGGGCACAACGTCGCCGCCACCAACTCGATGTTCCGCTATGCTGCCTCCAAGCTGGCCAACGTCGTCTACACCCACGCTCTTGCCACCCGGCTAGACTCGTCCTGCATCACCGTCAACGCCTGTCATCCCGGCAACGTTATCACCGACGTCACCGCCAACTACTTTGGCCCCTTCATCCGGGTCGTCACCCCGATTGCCACCTCCCTTGCCTGGATTCTCTACGCGCTCGGGCTTAACTGGTCTATCCGCCCACTTGCCAAGGGTTCCGAGGCCCTCGTCTACCTCGTCGCCGCCCCGCACCTCCGTTTCGTCTCGGGCGCGTACTTTAACATCTCGCGCCTCACTGAGGCTTCGCGCCTCAGCTACGACGCAGCGGCCGCCGAAGATCTCTGGCGCGTCTCAGAGCACATCACGTGCGCAAAGTACCCAGTCCACATGTAGAGCCGCACACTACCGCTACCGCGAGAGCGCCGCCACTTCCATCTCGGTTAGCGCCGCCCGCAGCTCGCGGACCGAGGCCTCGAGCTTGGTCTGCTTGCTTCGCGCCTTGCGCTCTGCCACGCCCGCCCGCTCTGCCGCAAACTCGGCTTCTGCGCACTGAATCTTGAGTGCAACCCAGTTGGCACGGACCTCGTTGGCCTCGGCCACCGCCGCCGCCTGCTCGTCGACCGACGCCTGCAGCAGCGTCTCGAGTGCATGCAGTCTCACTTCGGCCTCTGTCTCTCCGTCGACCATCTCGCGTGGCAAATCCACGCTCCCTACAGACGGCGTGTACATGGGGACAACCTTGCGTAGGGCCTCATTCTCTGCCCGCAGCCGCGCCAGCTCGTCAGTTTCGGGAATAGGCGCCACGGCGAGCGCTGCGGCGGGCGCGGGCGTTGGGACAGGCTCTGCTGCTCGGCTCTGCAGTGCAGCCTCGAGCTGCGCGATCCGCTCATCGCGGACGCCCACCTCGGCCTCGAGTCGGGCAGTCTCAAGCATCCGCTCGCGGAGTTTGGCTCGGAGCCTACGGCTGGAGCGATCCTTGCCGCCCGGCCCGCTCGGCCCGCCTTCGCGCTTGCTTTCCAGCACTGCAATGCGGGCGCGTGCCGAGCTCAGCTCGGTCGTCAGCTTTGCCACCCGCGTGTTGGCACCGTCGAGCGCGCTCCGCATCGGTGCCAGAGCCTCGGCCTCGTGCTCGGCCTCTACAGCCTGAAGCGCCTTGGCGCTCCGCACCTGACGCTGTACCCGCATCAGCTGCGCCCGCAGCTGGGTAAGGGCAGCGTTCTTTTCGGTGAGCTCGGCCGTCAGCGCCTCGACCTCGCTCTCTAGCTCTCGTCGTGCCGTCCACGACTCGCCGAGCTGGACCTTGAGCACCGACTCGAGGACCGAGGCTTGTGACCGCGACGGCGTGGCCAGCTCTGCGGCCAGGCCAACTGCCAGTCCTGAGTTGCCCGTCTCGGGCGCCATGGACGCCAGCTCGACCTCGTCCAGCGCGTTGCGCGCGAGCGTCGGATATTTGGCGCGCCGGTCAGCCTGTACGTCAATCAGCGACACCGTCGACGGCACTGGTGGCGGGGAGGGAGCCAGACCCGAGCTTGAAGAGCTCTCGTACGACTCCTCATACGATGATGACGACGACGACGACGCCGATGAAGACCCACAGCTGCCCGCATCGGCACTGCTCGTCTCGTCAGCGTCGGCCTGAGCAGCAAGTGCGGCATCAACAGCCGGCGTCGGCATTGGCGTTGGCAGCGACGCCTGCGCCGCCACCACCTCCCTGTCCTCGACGTTGGTATCGGCCGACTCGGGCGGCGACGAGGCGCGTGCGGCGGCGACGGTAAACTCGAGAACGGCCGACGCGATGTTGGCGGACTTGGGCTTGAGAGTCAGCGAGCGGCGGACGGGCTGCGGAGAGGTATGAGGCTCAGTGAGGACCACCGAGGCGTATTCTGCCAGATCGAGTTCTGCGGTGGCAAGGACGACAGGCTTGGATGGAGCAGGCGGGTGAGCCGACTGGCGGCCCTTGCCCTTGCGGCGCGGGGTCGGCATCTCCACCAGCTCCATGCGGTAGACCTTGGCATCAAAGGCCGATCCGTCCGGCTTTGCGTAGAGCGAGGCGGCCATGGCAAGGGCGGCGTGCCACTCGACGGCACAGTCGATGAAGCAGTACTCTGCCGGAGGCGAGGCGGCGACTCGGCGCCCACGACTCCAGCGGACAGCCATGGGCGGCGCCAGCCATGAGTCGTCCACCAGCTCCACCTCGGCCTTCTCCACCACCACATGCAGAACCACCGTGGTCTTGGCCTTGCCCAGTCGCTTGGCGTACTTGAGCATCGATCCCTCCAAGTCCTTGCACCTCCTGTCCTCTCTTGTCCCTTGCTGCTCGCGACAGGTGTTGACCACGCTGTGCTGCTCCACACCCAGGCCACTAACACATACCGATCGTACATCAGACACACCAGACACACCGAACAAGCCAGACAAACCGATCACACACACCGATAACACACACTGATCACACACACTGATCACACACACCGATCACACACACTGATCACACACTGATCACACACTGATCACACTGATCACACACACCGATCACACACTGATCACACACACTGATCACACACTGATCACACACTGATCACACACTGATCACACACTGATCACACACACTGATCACACACTGATCACACACACTGATCACACACTGATCACACACACTGATCACACACACCGATCACACACACTGATCACACACTGATCACACACTGATCACACACACCGATCACACACTGATCACACACTGACCACACACACCGATCACACACACCGATCACACACTGATCTCACACACCGATCACACACCGATCACACACTGATCACACACTGATCACACACACTGATCACACACACCGATCACACACCGATCACACACCGATCACACACCGATCACACACTGATCACACACGATCATACCCACTCCACCGACCACCAAATCCCCCAGGCACATTCGCCTCAGCCGCACCCGCTGCCCACACCGTGACGGACCACAGATACACCCACTCCACGCCCCCTCCACCCTCCACCCTCCACCCACCCAGGCATGGGGAAGACCAAGTCCGAGAGGCCATCCGCGCGGCGGTCGCCGTTCCACCTGGCGACAGGCGCCATGACCTGGTCCAAGACCATGCAGCCGCACTCGGCGGGGGACGACCACTACTTTGTCTCCCGATCGGCTCGAGCCTACGGCGTCTTTGACGGCGTCTCGGGCTCAAACGGCAAGTACGGCACCGGGGCTGCCGAAGAGGCTGCAAACTTCATGTGCTTCAACGCATATGCCGCTGCGCACAAGGCCGCCGCAAGACGCCGTCCCGTTGATCCGGCCGCCATCATCATCAAGGCTCACAAGAGACTCGCACGCCTCGCCTCCGTTCGCGGCTCCACCACAGCCCTCGTCGCCGCTCTCCACTGGCGATCGACAAAGTCAGCGCTGCTCACCGTCGCAAACCTTGGCGATTGTGGCGTCCTCATCGTTCGCCCCTACGTCCACCCGCCACCTGCTCCCGCCTCGGGCATTGACCACGGCTCAACTGCCGCATCGAGCTCGGCCTCCGTCTCGGCCTCGGCCTTGTCCAGCGACCCCTACTCACCGGCGCCATCGTCATCTTCGTCGTCCTCTTCTTCGTCTTCTTCATCTTCGGCGTCCTCGTCCTCGTCCTCGTCACTGTCGTCCGCCGCATGCCGCGCTGAGCAGCTGCGCGCCCTGGCAGCCCATCGCTGGCCGCACCCCATGCGGCTGCCCAGAGTCAAGCTCGTCGGCTTCACCGAGCCTATGCGCCACGACTCGGGCATGGCCCATCCCCACACACTCTCCGCCACCACCCGCCACATCGACCGCAAGATCGACCGCACCGCCTTTGTCGTCCAGCCCGGCGACATCGTTGTCTTTGGCACAGATGGCCTCTTTGACAACGTCGACAACAATACCATCGTCAGTGCCCTCACCCGCCATGCCACCGCCTCTCCACACTTTCTCGCCAAGCTCCTCGCCCGCCTCGCCCTCCACGGGCCCAAGCCCGACGACATCACCGTCCTCGTCGGCCGCGTCTACGAGCTGTAACCTTGCGTCATCCCGAGCAATCCGCCTTCCGCCTTCCGCCTCCCTCCACGCACCCAAAGCACCGCGCACGTGTGAACGCCAAATCATCGCATACCGTGCCAGCCAAAGCCGCCACTGTGTGTGGGCATGTGGGAGTCCGTGGGTGGGCTTGCGGGGGCTCACGTCTGCTCCAGTCCAGTGCAGATACGTACTATCCACCCACAGCCCTCCCCCCCCTCCCCCCCCCCCCCCACTCGCACACCGGCCACACCCCTCCGTCACGCCTGCCCATGCGCCCTGTCTCCGTTGCGCCCTCCCTTCTCGTGCTCTTCGGCATCTGGCTCTGGCTCTGCTTCCGCTTGGTCTCCACCACAAGCCCCTGTGCAAAAGTGGCCTACGCCCCGTTGCAGACCTCGGTGGCTGGCTCGGGCATGGCCGCCTTGTTCGACCTCCCGCGTTTGCTGCCCTTTGCTCGCGTCTTTTTCGCTCTCCTCGCCGCGGACCACCATTTACGCTTACCCAAACGCATCGACCTCCGCTTTGGAGCTGGCGTCGGGCCTGCCGGCTGTCATCGATCTTACTGCAGGAGATATCGACAATGACGGCGTCGTCGATCTGGTCTATGCCCACGCTCCGGCCTCCGTCTCGTGGCTCCGCGGTCTTGCCACCGCAGGCTCCTTTGCGAGCTCACCGACTCTGGTAACTTCGAGTGCAACAGGCGTCAAGCTAATTGGAGTCGGCGACGTCACTGGCGACGGCACGTCGGACATCATATACGTCTCGTCAATGTCCGGCCCGTTTGTGGCCGCTGGCCTCGGCGCTGCCGCCTTTGACAGCGCCTATGCTCTTCAGTTTTCATCGCGCTCCTTCGTTCAACTGCAAATTGCCGACGTTCGCGGCAACTCGAGCCTCGACATCATTACTACCGATGCGTCTGGATCCATTACTGTCTTTGCTCTCGACTTGCGCTCGTTTTCCGGCGGCGTCAAGCCGTTCATCGCTCTCGATACCAACCTTGTGAGCAGCGCAGTCGTGGCCACAGCATTTGCCGACATGACAAACTCTGGCGAACTCGATGTTGTCGCCGCCTTTGATTCCGCCCCGGGCATTGTCTTGTGCCGCAACGTGTTTCTCAAGACATGCACCGTCCTCGCGGCCACAGGTATCGACAACTACGCCTTTGAGCCGCGACACATCGCCTTGGGCGACGTCAACGGCGATAGCCATGTTGACATTGTCGCCATCTCTGGCAGCCCGCCACAAGCTATGTGGCACCCCAACGGCGGCTCTGGCGCCATCAAGAACGCACTGCCACTCACGCCGCAGTCTCCCTCTCTGTCAAGCATTGTCATCGCTGCGCCGGCCGTCATCTACGCGCTCGATGGCTCCACTGTTCGCCTTTTCTCTTTCGACGCCACCAACTACAACCCGTTTGTCACTCCGCCACACACCGCAGCTCTGCCTAGCGCCGCACCGGTGCGGTCGCTCAAGCTGGGGCGGACGACCGGGTCCGGCGACCGCTTCATCTCGGCGGTGTCGTCGGCCGGATGGGCCTCCATCATTCGCTCGCCGGACGGAGCCTTGCAAACCCAGAGTGTGTCCAAGGAAAACTTGATGATCGCTTCCCGTGTCGTTACATCCGGGTCTCAGGGCACCGAATTCCTACTCTGCGCCACAGGCTCGCTTGTGGCAAGCGGGTTTCTGGTCCCCAATTTGGGAGTTAGTCCCAACTCGCTCGTCAGAATCTCGCCGAGCATCAGAGCGTCGGCTGTTGCCGTCTTTGATCTCACTGGTGACACCTTGGACGACTTTGTGGCCATCGACGAGCTCTCCGGCGATCTTGTGCTCTACATCCACGTCAGTACCTACCTCTATGACCGCCATGTACTGGTCGCAAACACACTCTCACCGGCAGCGTTCCAACTCGGTGCAATTGGCTCTGCAAGTGACGCTGGCCTGGCGGTAGTCGTCACGGCGCCTTCCCCCACCTGGCTCTCCTCACCGCCGACAGGGCCCGACTGCAGCTGTTTGCAGATCCGGCTCTCGTTGGGCCGACTCTACCGCTCGCCTCACGGTACATGGTCGCTGTTGTTGATGTCAACTCCGACGGACTCGGCGATGTTGTCGTTATGCCGGCCGACGTCGCAGGTCCGATTTTGTTCTACGATGGCGGCGCCGGCGGAGTCCCGCTGGCGACCATTCCCGACCTTGCTGCCTCGGGCCTTGCCGTTTCTGACGTTGATGGCGATGGCGCTGTCGATGTCGTGGTGGCTGTCGCTGCCGCCAGCAAGCTGGTCTGGTTCCCAGGCCTCGCTGGAAGCGGCCCGCTGCCTGTGTTTGGCCTGCAGCGCAACATCTCGTTGGCAATCGCTCTTGCGCCTGCCACCAAGCTCATTGTCGACGACTTGACTGCTGACGGTTTTCTCGACATCGTGGTCTCGACCCCGACAGGGCTGTCTCTGTTTGAGGCCACGCCTGCGATCACGGCCGCGCCTGTTGTCAGTCGCACATCGTCGAAGCTATTGGCAAGCGTGGCTGAACTCGGCTTTGCGCTGCAGGGTTCACAGTGCTGGTCGTCAAGCGTGTTGCTGGAGCCGGGTGCCGTCATTCGCGGCTGTCCGCCGAGCCCGATTGTCGTACCTTCCGGCTCGGTGTGGGCGATCGAGGGCACGCCTACCGCGCCAGCGGTCATCAACTGCACTGGTAGTGTCACAGCGCTTTTTGATGTACAGGGCCACTTGATCCTCCGCAATGTGCGTATTACCGGCGGGCTCGCCAGTTCCTCGATACCGTCGCTCCTCGGCGTGTCGGGATCAGGCGTGCTCGAGCTTGACAATGTTCGCATCGATGGCTTTTCATCGGTCTCTGCCACGTTTCCGTTCGACCTCGGGACCGGCTCGGCCATCTCTGTGGGTGACGCTGGGCGCCTGGAAGCGACCAATTGTTCGTTCGTCAACAACGTGGCCTTACGCTCGGGCGGCGCAGTCGCTGTTGCCGGTGCCTCGGCAACAGCGATTTTTGCTGACTGCATCCTGGAGGGCAACACTGCGCTCGGACTTGGCAAACAGTTTGGTGGTGGTGCTGTGGCTGTCATCGGCAACGCCGCAAGCGTGCAGCTGACATCATGCGAGCTTGCCAACAACCACGCTCCCAATGGTGTTGGCGGGGCGCTGTTCATGGCGTCATCGGCGTTGTCGGCGTTTATCACACTCACTTCTACCGAGGTCCGCGATGCGACTGCCGGTCTTGCGGGCGGATGCATCGGCGTTGCGGTCGAGGTCGGCGCAACATCGTTTGCGCAAGCGAGTGTAGCTGATGGATCATGGGTTCACTCGTGCTGGGCGCCCGTCGGCGGCTGCTTTGCGGTCTCAGACTTTGAAGGTATGCCAAGCGAGCCTGTCGGAGCCATCTCCGACTTTCCGACGCCTGTTCCGCGCGCAGTTGATTTCTACGGAGTCAGCATGTACATCAGCGGCTACTACGACGATGTGGCACGGATCGGCAACTGCACGGCAGACTACGGCGGCGCGGCGTACGTGTGTAACGCGCAACTGTTTACCCAGCTATCGCCGGCCTACACCCAGCCGCCGACCCTGGTCGCCGAGCCGCCGCTCTCGGCATCGATTGCCGGCTCGGGTGTGTTTATCTGCGGCAGCTCGACTGCATTTCCGGTCGACACCTGGTTCTCCAACCAGACACCGGACCGCATCTCGCCTGCCGTGGTTATTCCCCGGGACTCGTACGGCGGCACGTTTGCCTCGCGGGCGGCCTCGCTGCAGATCTCCGGCAACCTGCCTGGGACGGCAGCGTCGGGCGTGGTTCTCGGCGCGACAGCTCCGATCATCACCATCCGCGACGCGTACGGGACGATTGTGACTGACGCTTCGCTGCGGATAGAGGTGACGACGTCGCCAGAGTTGACTGTCCGCGGCGCCGAGAGTGGGCTGGCGCTCTTGCCTGCCAAGCGAGGCGCGCCATTGACGCCACTGGCAATGTTGTTGCCTGATTCAACGACATCTGCCGATGGCATGGACGTGACCGTGACCCTTTCACCCGCCGGTATTCCCGAACTTGCGATCGAGTTCACCATCCGGATCACAGGTTGCCCGCGCGGGAGTGGCGTTGTCTCGCGCGATGCCACAGGCATTGTGTGCGGAGCGTGCGATACACCACAGGCGACCGGGACTGCGCTATTTTCGCTCGAGCCGTGTGCAGTGCTGCCAGACTGCCCGAGTGGTACATTCCGCAAGACCCTGTCCAACACGACGGGCCTGGTGGCCTGCCGGTGCTTACCGGACTTTTACGTTTCGGGCAACACGAGCGACGTGTGCTCGGCGTGTCCGAGCGGCGCCGTGTGTTTCGGCGACGAGTCTGCGCCTTTGGCAGCGCCGGGCTTCTTTCCCATCGGTGATGGTGCAAGCTTTGCCTCGTGTCTTCGGCCCAAGGCCTGCAGCGGCGCGGGGCAGTGTGCCGACGGCTACGAAGGGTTTATGTGCAACGACTGCGCGGCCGGACACTACACTGCTGACGATCGATCGTGCCGCAAGTGTCCATCCGACGCAGTAGGAAGCGCACTGCTGGCGGCAGTAGCTGCGGCTGCCGTTGGCGTTGTAGCTGCTGTTTTCTTCTCGCCCGCATGCCAGAGGCGCCCAAGCGCAGCGAACACGAGCCGAGTGCGTCCGCAAGCGAGGACGAGCAGAATCATGGCAGTACCGACGATGCGGCGGCGGCAAGCGACGAGGCGCCGGACGAGGCAGCGATGCGGGCTCGGCAAACGCCGCCGTCGCTGTCGATGATTATTGTGGCGTTCCAGGTCATCGGGATCCTCGCCGATGCCAATCTTGCATGGGGCTCAGCGTCGACGTCGGTCATGGGCACATTCAACATGTTCAACGTCAATCTCTCGATGATTGCCTCCGAGTGCACGGTCGGCTCGTACGCGTTGCAGTACGTCCTCGCAGTCTGCCTCCCGCTGCTTGTCATCGCCGTTGCGATTGCTGCGCTGGCAGTAGCGAAGATGACCGGATTGGTGGAAGCGTTGCGCGAGGTTTCGTTGCGCGGGGTGGCTGACACGGTCCTGTTTCCTGTTGCGCCGCTGCTTTACATTCCTGTGGCGCGGGCAACGCTGCTGCTGTTTGCGTGCACGCGGCTGCCAACAGGCGACTACGTGGTGATCGCCAACCCAGGGCTGAAATGCGGCGGCGAGACGTGGCTTATGGTTGCACCGGTTGGCGCGGCGGCGATCCTGATCTTTGTGCTGGGCATCCCAATCTACTTCCTCCTTACAGTTGCCGGCCAGTCGGCGAACCTGTTCGAGCGTGCTACATTTGCGCGGTACGGGGCGCTGTACAAGCTCTACCGCAAGCCGTACTTTTGGGGTGAGGTGGCGAGTCTGACCAAGCGGCTCTCGCTGGTTGTGGCAACGGTCTTTCTGGCCGACGTGCAGCTGGCGCAGATTGCGCTCCTTCTAGGCGTGCTCATCGTCTCTCTCTGCCTGGTCATCCGATTCCAGCCGTTCTACTTTCCGATTTACAACAGCCTGGAGCTTCGGCTTACAGCGGTCCTCCTGTTCATCCTGGTCATGGGCGTGTTCTCGTACTCGGACCGGCGGGCTGATGGAAGTGCTGGCTCCGCCGACAGAGTCATCTTTGTCTGCGTCGTGCTCGGGCTTGTCGCGCTCGTTGTGGTTGCCGTCATCGGCTTTGCCACCGACATGATGCAGATCCGGGCCGAGCGTAGTGGAGCGTATTCGGCGACGACCGAGCGACTCGCGCACGTTGCCGAGTGGCTAGAGAAGGAGGCAGTAGACCTGGATCCTGCAGCCGCGGAAGCACTGACGACGGCTGCCGACGCTGCCGAGTCGGCCACGACTGGCGCTGTCACCGACGTCGCCATGCACGACCTCTAGCCGCGTCAAAAAGGCCGCGGGCTGTCCGAGGTTTCAATCCCAGCTTGCGGTGGGCGCCACGTTGTTGGACGGCAGCGGTGGCGTGGCGGAGCCGTCGTCGTCGTCGTCCGAGGCTGGGACGACTACATCTTCGACTTGGGTCGAACCGGAACTCAGACCTCCGGCATTGTCATCGTCCGAGTCGGAGACCGAGACTGCGACGTCGTCGACCTGGGTTGAGCCGGAACTCAAGCCTCCGGTATTGTCATCGTCCGAGTCGGAGACCGAGACTGCGACGTCGTCGACCTGGGTTGAGCCAGCACCCGAAACAGCGGCATCGTCAGCATCGCCGTCGTCGTCGTCCGAGACAACAACGGTCGAGCCCGACGACGCGCCATCAAGATCTGCGCCATCGTCGCCGTGTACATTGTCGGTCTCCTCAGACTCGTACTCGTACTCGTACTCATACTCACCGCCCTGTTGGCGCTTGAGAAATCCAGCGAGCCACTCTTGGTACGCCTTGTCGTTGGCGTAGTCGGTGATAAAGGAAGTGTCGCCGTTGCCGCCAAGCTCGGCAGGCAGAGCGGCGGCGGCATCCGAGCCCGAGCCCGAGCCCGAGCCCGAGCCCGATGACTCGGCCGTGGCACTGGCAGCAGAACCTGCATCGGGCGGCGGGAGCGAGGTGGACGAGCATGATGACGACGAGGAGGAGGAGCTGGCGTCCGAGTCCGAGTCCGAAGCGGAAGTTGCAGCGGGTAGCGCGGTCGCGGCGGTAGTGGTGGTGTCAGCGACAGAGAGCGACGAGTCGACGGCGGAGCTCGGCAGGTTGGAGTCATCGTCGAGAGTGATCGAGATGGCCGGCAGCTCTGCACTCGGGAGGACGGGGCTCTGATCGAGGTGCTTGAGCTTGCCGGCGGCGGCGAGGACCTCTCGAGTGAGCATCTTGGAGTCTGTCTCAACAAAGGCGGCGCTCTTGAGGGCGGCAAGCCACTCGTCGCGGGCGGCGAGGTCGTCGGTGGCGAGCAGATACTTTTTCTGGTCGATGTGGGTGACGGAAAACTCGTAGCGCTCAGCCTCGAATGCGGCGTCAGTGACGGGAACAGAGGTGACATGGTAGCCCGGGAGGTAGCACGAGCCGAGCGGCTTGAGAGCATCATCCGAAGCAAAGTAGTAAAAGGTGCGCTCGTGGAGGAGCATGAACCGCGGCTTCCACACCTTTTTGAATTTGGACTTTTTGAAGACCCAGCCCTCAAAGGACGCCTCTTTGCGGAGGAGGTAGACCGAGAGGCCGGCCGAGCCCTTGCCGTCCTTGGCATGGTGCTTGGCCTTGAAGGCGGCGATTGAGTGGGCCGACGGCAGCTCGTAGAGAAGGACGGGAAGGCGCGACGAGGCCTGGGCGAGGGCTGTCATCCAGTTTGCGTACTGGAAGCCATCGCCGAGGGAGAAGAACCACGGATGGACCTTGGCCGCCGGGTTGTGCATCCGCGACTTGCGGCGGAGGGTGCCAAAGGCGTTCGACGAAATGGTGATGGGCTGGACGCCGATCGAGTACGCGCGCTGGACCTCCTGCGAGACTGGCCAGATGATGGCGTCGGCAACCGGAAAGAACGAGACCGGCGTCATGTCGTCGGCCGAGGTGAAGATGTAGAGAACGGCGTCGGCGAGGACGACATAGCACTTTGTAAACTTGGCAAAGGCCTTGGTCGTCGCCTTCTCGCGCTTGACAAAGACCTCCGAGCTGAGGTCGGCCTCCATGTCGACGGCCTTGCGGGCGTTGGCGGCAAGGGTTGGGCCCATCGGTGCCGACGAGCGGCGGCCGCGTGCTTCGCGGATGACAAGCGCTGATCTACGAGCATCAGCGAGAGCGGCTGCTGTCGAGTTGTGGCGGGCACTCGTGGCAGCCTGCAGACGCGCCACGCCTGACGCGGCGGCGGCGGCCGGAGGTGGCGAGTCAGGCGAGCCGGCGACTGACGACGAGTCGCGCGAGAAGACCGATGGGTCGTCGTCGTCGTCATCGTCTGTGGCGGCGGAGCGGTCGGCATTCGAGGTAGGAAGATAGAGCTCGACAGAGCCGTCGTCCGAGGCGTACGGCGAGTCGAGGGCAGCGCCGAGGCGTACAAGCTGCGCGATGTCGTCGGGAGGGTTCGACATGTCGACCGGCTGGCCGCGGGCGACGTACGAGATGAGCTTGACCCAGAGCCGGGCCTGGAGGACCGAGTCGGCCATGAGATGGTAGGTCGAAAACTTGGTGGACGGATGCGGGACGAGCGAGAACTGCGACGACTTGGGCGAAGACTGGATCGAGTATCCGATGAGCGGGATCGAGTTGCGGGTCACGCCGCGGGTGTCCGAAGAGCCGAACCAGTAGAGGCAAGCATCAGCGAGGACAATGTAGCGGCGGTTCCATTTTTTGGTCCAGTACGCCAGCTTGCGCAACTCGCCGTGGTACATGGCGTGCGGGAGGAGCGAGCCGAGCGTGATGGCATTGCCGGTCCGCGCATCGGTGGTGCGCCGCTTCTTGCGGCCGCGCTTGCGGACCTTACCAGCGGCGGCGCCGCTTGTGGCACCAGCCGCCGACGGTGCGGGTGGGCGGACGGCAGCGGCTGGCGCCGGCTTGGGCGGGCGGATGGGCCCGAGGGCGGCGGCGGTGGCCGCCGCAGAGACCAGTCCGGACGACGCCGTCATCGATCGACTTGGAGCCGACGGATGGAGCGACTTGCGGCGCCCGATGGTGCGGGTCGGCTTGCGCGGGCCAGAGAACTCAAAAGCAATCGACTCAAACTGCGCACGTGAGACTGTCGATGCTGGCGGCCCAGCTGCGCCGCCGCTCGCCTGTGCACGTGCCACTTGCAACGCTGTGTCAAACACAGCGTCGTCGACTTGGGTCACCGACTCGACCGGCACCAGCTCAATGCTCGGCAGTGACGGCGGGAGAAAGACAATGACCTCAACAAGCGCAGGATCCAAAGTCGGTGCCACAATACAGAGTGCGCCCTCCGCCGTCCGCCCACGCCATGTCGTCCGCTCAGCTGCAGCCTTGGAGCCGCCACCAGCTGGAGGCACCTCGCCTACACAAGGCGGCGCCAACATGTGGACAGTCTTGCCCGGTGTGCCTGACGCAGTCTTGGTTGAACCCAGCGGCAGATTGCTGCTTACAGCAGTCTGAGGAGCCTGCACCTGTGGTGATGGCAGCTTTGCAGCCTCACACGCAGTGGCGGCAGGAGTGACTGGGGAGGCCGAGCTTGTGGAAGAGGAGGAAGTGGATCCCGAGTCCGAGAAAGATCCTGAAGATGAAGCTGAGACCATATGTACGTGTATGTATGTGTGTGGTGCGTGTGGGTATGGTGTATGGGTGTGTATGGGTGTGAGGAGAGGACCACGCGTGCAGGTGGCAAAAGGTACCTTGTCGGTTTCGTGCGGCAGGCCGTGGGCCGTGTGCGGGAGGGGAAGAGGGAGGTGGAGGAGTGGAGGACGAGAAGGGGGGAGGGTAGGTAGGTGTAGGTGTAGGTGTAGGTGTAGGTGTAGGTGTAGGGTATGTGTGTGTGTATGTATGTGTGTGTGTGTGTGTGTGTCAAGTGGGAAGAGTGGCTGAGGTGGTGGTGGGGAGGTGAAGAAGGGGTGGAGGGGTGAAGAAGTCTGGCAAGGTGCTGCAAAGGGTGGTGCAAAAATTAGTGGGAGGG